TATTTCAATTTGGCACTACTTCAAATTAGAATTAACATTTTCAGTCACTGACATAGACGTATATATAACTTACATAATATGAACTTTCCACATATTTAAAGACATCTTCTCTTCAAGCTATTATTCCCTAATTACAAAACAATTCCACCCTTTTTTTTTCAAAGTACAAAATACAGGTAGTCCTTGACTTGTAACTATTTGTTTAGCGATGTGTTTAAAATGGTGTTTATTTATTGTGTATTGAAATAAATTTCATATACATTTTTAAAAATCAAATGTAGCAATTTTATAATAAAAGATATTTTTAGAACTTTAAAAAAATTCACAAAGTTATCTTAGGAGCTGCTAGATGTGTTTAAAATGATATTTATTTATTGTGTATTGAAATAAATTTCATGTGTAATTAGTATTATGTACTAAATGTCTGTATTGCTCTATATATTAAAAGATTTTCTTCTTTAGTTTGTTTTGTAATATGGTATATTACTTTACAGGATATTTAAGAAATAAAATGATCAGTCGCATTAAAGAAAATCAATTTCCTTGGTTGTAATCTAGAAGATAGAAAACAAAACTCAAGATATGTTTTATAATCAAATTAGATTTAATTTAGTTAGAGGTAATTCAGTCAGTTTTTCTATTATGTTTTTATTTTATGGAAAATCTGAAATAGTTTTTTCTTTGTTACCATTACAAAATAAAGCAAACCCTCCAAATCATTTGACCTAGTTTTGATATATTTAAGATGGTATCAAGCCTTTGATTTTAAAATCCTTTCCAGGTTAAAAAAAAAAAAGACTCTGAAGTTAACCATTCAGATAACAAAAGTGTGAGCCTCCCATTAATTATTAGTCTTGCAGGCTCTTAGTAAACAATCAAAGAAGTTGAAAGAGCAATGCCCAAAATGTGTTACCATGGATTAATATATCCAGTCTGAACTTGGATAACTAAATCATATAAAGATGTGAAAGATTTTATGTAATGATTCCATTACATAAATTAATAGACTCTGCATTTTTGTTGTATTAGACATGTGATCATCCGCATGTTAAATGGTACAAAAGAGGTAACCACTTCCATGCAGTTTCCTTATCAACCCACATTGAAACAGCCTGTAAATTTGGGGATTCCCAGAACAACACAGCAGCATTGCAGAGGGAAGGTAAGATCTCTTCCACAAGGTCCTTCCAGTGTGTAACACTGCATGTCAGCCAGAGCCTGTAAGATGAAGAAAGTATCCTACCCAGATCACTAATCATTCAACACCTATTTTGATTCACGCTAACTTGCAATATGATCGCAGACCACAAAGAAGGTTGAAGACAGTAAATTATCCTGGGGTTGTTTTATCACCACTTCTAGAGTATCAGGGAGCAAATAACAGGGAAGCAATCATTTTGGCTGTGGAGGTATTCATTAAACCTTGTGCAAGGCAGTCACTATATACTTTATGAAAGTAGATACATTTTTGTGACAGATGAATACTTACAAAAACAAAACAAACAAACCTCCTGGCCTCCACTCCAGGCTGCAATGGAGAATATACAATATATTTTCCAGAATGTAAACTTCATTGAGCTGAAGGGGCAGCTACTTCTGAAGACAGGTATTCTGCTGAAGTCCTCTTGCCTTCAGTGGGAAATGACATGTCTAAACTTCATTCTCTGAAACCAAGGGACCTTGAAAATTTAGACTTTTGGGGCTCATTTAC